ATGTGGAAACACAGACCAAACAATCAGTTCTATTTGAAAGTAGGCATGTTTGCTGTAGCATACCTTGAAGCTGTTCAATTAAAGTCCAGGCCATTCGAGATCCTTGAGCATCAAATACAACATGACCCTGAAAGAAGCATAAAAATGTTGATGATGCTATATCTGCACACACCCTTCACACAGTACCCATGTGTCTTTCTCTTTGCAACTTTTTTTCTCTCACTCCAGCACCAGTAAGTGTTGCACTTACAGACACTCCTTCAAAAGAGCTGGTGTTCATTGCTCGGTAGATCTCAGCAGTGATATCTCGGTTGTTATAGTTGAAATCTTCAAGACGATGACCCTTGGCCCTAAGGGGCCCAATGGTTTTGTTGAGGGCCAGCGCTAGAGCCCACACAGCATCATACGCCAGCGGAGCCTCTTGGAAACCACCAGTTTCTTCTGGATTTTTACCCCCAAGTTTGGACATGAGCTGAGCAAGAAACTCTTGAGAGGTCTGGATACGGGAGACCATGACAGAGCAATAGTTAGACACAGGACACACTGATCATAAGGTAAAACCCCAACAAATATGAAAGAGAAGCCCAGTGACTACATCATTTCACTTGCTTTGCATGGTCTTTTGTGTGCGTGTGTGTTTGTGTGTGTGTGTGTCAGTGAGAGATAAAGGGAGAGAGAGAGAAAGCATATTGTGACCTTGAAGCATTTTACTTGAGGCATATTTTAAGTTGTTAGATTCTTATATCCAGATATACCACAGAAAACATTTTCCTTTGTGTACAATGCTCATTGTTCATGATGTGCACAAACCTCACCTTAATTCTGTTTGTCTTTTTTTCCATGTCTGCCTAGCCCTAATTGCAAGTAACTAGGGCTACGCAAAATGGCTAAAAAAACCCCTCTTCCTGTAGATTTTAAAAATCATTGCTACACTGTATATGATGAAATCTTTAACTATGTTAAGTTATAAGAATTTTAGTTATTAGGCAAAAAATAATTAATAATTTGTTAACAATAATCAGTAATAATAACTTATTAATTAATTAATGACGTTTCTAAAAATATGTGCACTGTGTGAAGGTATTGGGGATTACTGATATGTAACAAAAGTTGTTCACACTGCAAGTTATTGTCATTTCAGTAGTGAACCTCCACGAGTCTTCATTAAATCTGCTTGAAAAAGGCTTGGCAGACATTCGTTTGATGCTGTACAATTTTTGTTTCAAACAACACTCTGACTTTTCAACAGGGAGCCCACAGTGACAGTTAGTGTCTACTTTACAGTTTTAATGGTACATGTAAAAAGATTCAGAATAATCTGTGACTGTTTAATCACTTAAAGTTTAATACAAAAACAAGTTTAGGCATAGAAAAATGTCTGTTTTCCATAAGTGACATTATTTCTAAGTAGTCACAAGGTGTGGCCTACTTGTGTGTTTTAAAGTGCTCAGGGAATTCAACAAACACTAACTGTTGAAATTATTTCAGTCTTCTTGTCATTATTGCTTGTGATGATATAGCCATGGATTCAGGGATCACACAAATGACTGACCGGATTGCGAAACGTCCATCCTCTACACTTTTATGCATCTAACATCCTTCTGCCTTGCCTTTGCTTTACTGCATGCTTTCTTTTTTCTTTTTTTTACCTGTCTTGTCTTGCAGTGAAGGCCAAGAAAAACTGCAGAAAAGACTTATTTTCCCAAGTGAACCATTACGGCTTTTGCTATATTGATCTTCATAGTTTATTTGATGTTTATCATTTTTACAGTGGCTTGCAAAAGTATTCGGCCCCCTTGAACTTTCCCACATTTTGTCACAGTACAGCCACAAACATGAATCACTTTT